AAGTAGCAGATTTAATTCTGCTACTTTGTGTTCGATCGCTTGTATCCGTCACAGTCTTGAGCTCATAAACGGCAAAACACGAGGAAACGCCTTGAACTTCTTTCCTGTAATTTTGGATGCAGCTTTATTTTAACCCATATCGCCTGCAACTTTCCATTTCTGTAAGCGATGAAACTATAATAAGAGTGAAAATGCTTTAGTTTGTCAGAATGTGAGATTCATGAATGTTTGTCTTTTTCTGCACTAGAAGTGATTCCTTCATAATTTATATATGTTCATTTCCAATCTTATTTTGGTTAATAAATCCCATTTAAAGGTACCAGCGTGCTTTTGTTTTTATGCTGATACAAGAGCAATAAAAGTGCCGATTCTGGCAGTATAATGCAAGGAAATGTCTATAAATGCATCACAATAATACGAGTGTTTGCACACACACTGTCGCTCACAGATAGCATTTTTCCAGTTAATGGCCACAATAAATGAGTCATTTAATATATGCATGTGTGAGATAATGTCTCAGTAAATATGATCATATTTGAGCATGATCCAGTGCCGATGCTGGATCACAGACATACATGATTCTGACTCACTTTCTCATTTTCAAGGATGAATAAATGAAGAGAAAACATGAGAAAAGGCCTGAGGCTCATTAGATGTGATGAAACAAATGTTATTTTAGGATATTTAAACTGAACACAAGTGTTTATTCCTGTTCCAGCTCTGTACTGCTGCGATTAGCTGTTAGCTTTACATGAGCATGTTTTTGCATCAAACCGGACGAATGTTTTAAAGTGAAACAAACCACAAAACATCACAAGACTCATCAGATCCATTGATATACTCACTGATGTTTGTGCTGCTGGTTTCCCTCCAATAAATGATGTCACTTCCTGCAGGATGATGTCAATGAGGAAGTGCCTTTTGTTAGTTAAAGGTTTTTTTTTACAAATGACTAATAGAATGGAAATCATATTAAAGGAATAGTTCAGCCAAAAATGAAAATGTGCCCAGCAATGGATGCTCTGCAGTGAATGGGTGCCGTCAGAATGAGAGTCCAAACAGCTGATAAAAACATCACAATAATCCACAAGTAATCCACAGCACTCCAGTCCATCAGTTAACATCTGGAGAAGACAAAAGCTGAAACAAATCCAGCATTAAGACATTTTTAACTCGAGTAAAATCTCATCAAATGCTCATCTTTCAGTGGACTATGGCTTTAGGAGCTCCAGCTGCAGTGGGATTCAGGACTCAGATCCTCATTAGGTCTGTAATGCGCTGACGCAGCGAGTGACTGTAACTCAAACCCTGCTGAATTATTGACACATGGACCCTCATTAGTCAGTCAAACGTCCTCTGTGTTTCACTGCAGCAGCCTGTGAGAAACAAAACCGGCTCATTTCCTCTCAGTCTCTCTCACATCTGCTCCATCAAGCCTGATAAAACCCAACACACCCAGAATGAGACGATCACATTATATTCTGTCATGAGCTGACGACAAAACTGCAACCGAAATGGAAAACCTGGAATTTAAGCCTGCAAACAAACAAATAGGATTTTCAAAAAATTCAAAAATCTAATTCAAATCCAAAACAAGGGATCATCAAGATGTTTATTTTCTGTTCTACTTCTGAACTGAATGCAAGTAAATTTGAGTCATTGATCATGTGACTCTTTGCACAGTCAGATATCCTTCATTAAAAGCAAAAACGCAGACACACCAAATATGCATTCATTCTCAAATTCATGTTTATTTTTAAACTTAAAAGCTGAAGTTATTACGGTAAAGTCATTCATGATGAATGTTTTTGAAAATTAGAAAAACATGCAAAAAAAGCAGCATTTCCCCACTAGTGATCTCATAAACAAAATTTCTGTAAAAGTCACTGAAATTCATCAGTCATGGTGAAATTCAAGCAAAAAATAAATAAAAATCCAAGAAATGTCACAGTCCTGTGTATGATTTTAATAAGCTGATAAATCAATAAATGTCAGTAATGCTTCCGAATGTACAAGCAAAGCTGTAAAGATGAGATGTTTCTCTGTTATGACTATATTTATTCATCTGGACGAGGTTTTTAGTGTCTATGCAAATTAGACAACAATGAACATCTTGTGCAAATCCACAGTCACTTTCTTGATTCATGTTCCTGGTATTTGTTCTAAATAAAATGCAAATGCAACAGAGAGGAGTAAATGAATGCAGCTTCATGCAGAGCTCAGTATCTGTGAAACTGTGCTTCATCATATCTGGGGACTGAAAGGGGAACCGGAGCGCTCTATAACAGAAATACACCGCAAACACATCCTGAACTGAGGTTCCTAGACTTCAGCGAGAAACGAGATAAAATCATGATTTCACTTTGATGCCAATGAGTGCATGAAACGGCATGGGTTTCCCTCAGATGGATAAATACATTTAAGTGCTGTTCTTCCTCTGTGTTTTTGTTTTGTTTTCCAGTGCAAATGTCTAAAAACTCTTAAATCAAGACACATATACTGGAGAAGCAAAATGAATGAATGAGACATTTATAAAATACAACAAGTCTTGTTCTCTGAGAAACTGATCGAGATGAAGTGAGTTTGTGAGATAAATCAGATATCAAGATTAAATCAGATATCTGTTCTTGTTTTAATCATAAAAGTTAATTTTGTAGAATTTTGTTAATTCTGATGTGATGTTAAGATGTTTCTCATTGGATGGTGATTAACATATATTTATTTTATTAATTATTATATTTGCTATTATTAATATTACATTCACACACTCCTATACACATATATATAGTTTTTTTAAACTTAGTATTTTGGTCTTATTTTCCAGTAGAATAATCTAAAAATTCTTAAATTAAGATACATTTACTTAAGCAAAATTACAAGATATTAAGTCTTTTTTTTTGTAAAATGCACCCAAATTAAGTAAGTTTGTTTAAAACAAAAACAAATATTTTTCAATGGAGTCAGAAAAATAATCAGGTTTTGCCTTTGAATTACGCACATTTTTCTATCCACACTTTCTTGTTTTATGCATAAACTTGCTTAATTTTGACCTTTTTTCAGAATACAAGACCTTATGTCATTTTGTTTCACAAGTAGATGTATCTTGATTTAAGGATGTTCAGATATTTGAACTGGAAAACAAGACAAAAAAAAATACTTTTTTATTTTGCAGTGCATGCAATATTTAATGCCACCACATTATGAATTTAAGACTTTATGATTACAGTTTTTTACGATTGCTTAAGCACAATTTTGAAAACAGGGCCCGGTTTGTCAAAACACTACACACAATTAACACAACCCTACACCAAAGTAGCACAACACTTCAGATCATTTGCAAAATGGAACACTTTTAATCAAAACTATACACAACTTTATAAAAACAATATTTTGTTACCATACGAAACACACATTTCATATGACTTTAATCTTTTTGAACCAGTTACCAGACTCACAAACAAACACATTAAACAATAATGCACACGCAAACAGTGCTGCTAAAGGAAGGCCCATTTGTTGCAAAAAGTTGCTAAATGAACTTGATGTCATTACATAATCACGACACAAAATTGTGTCACTGCATCAAATCTCAGCAAAAAATTTTCATTTATATTTTTTCGTAAAATTATATCAATGCATAATATAATATTAAAATACAAATAATTGTATTTTTAAATACAACATTGAATTACTGAACACTTACACATTTTTCAACAATTTAAAGTTTTTTTTATTAGCTAGTAAAATTACACATTCTGAACAATTATAGTTTTAAGCAGCGTATTAGTAGTTAGTTAGTATGCTACACTCTAAGAAGAGTCTGTAAAAATAGGGCACAATCTACTATGTTAATATGAAGGAATTTTCCGTATTGATTTTTCACAGGTTTTTTACCTGCATTTTAAATTATGCACTGTATTTTGTGCTTTTGGGTTACACAACGGATAATGGATAACGGATGTGTCCTGGAAAATGACTAGTACCTTTTCCATTTTTCTAGATATTTTTCTTACAGTGTACTCACTTATTATTATTATTCAATTGAAGAATTGCAAATAGCAGCTAACTTAATTCACGTGATGTGTGTACTGCTAGGCATCTTCGGTTTCCTCTTTTTGCATAATTTAGATGGAAAATGTATTTATTGTATTTATTGTTTGGGTCACTTAACAAAAGTTGCTAAAAGTTGCCAAATAATTTTTAAAAATAGCTACATTTGTTGCTAGGTGCTTTTGATTGCTTAAGCACAATTTTGAAAACAGGGCCCGGTTTGTCAAAACACTACACACAATTAACACAACCCTACACCAAAGTAGCACAACACTTCAGATCATTTGCAAAATGGAACACTTTTAATCAAAACTATACACAACTTTATAAAAATATTTTGTTACCATACGAAACACACATTTCATATGACTTTAATCTTTTTTGCACTGTATTTTGTGCTTTTGGGTTACACAACGGATAATGGATAACGGATGTGTCCTGGAAAATGACTAGTACCTTTTCCATTTTTCTAGATATTTTTCTTACAGTGTACTCACTTATTATTATTATTCAATTGAAGAATTGCAAATAGCAGCTAACTTAATTCACGTGATGTGTGTACTGCTAGGCATCTTCGGTTTCCTCTTTTTGCATAATTTAGATGGAAAATGTATTTATTGTATTTATTGTTTGGGTCACTTAACAAAAGTTGCTAAAAGTTGCCAAATAATTTTTAAAAATAGCTACATTTGTTGCTAGGTGCTTTTGGAAGAAAACGTTGCTAGGTTAGTCTGAAAAGTTGCTAATTTTAGCAACAAAAGTGTCCCAATCTTTGGACTAGCTTACCACAACACATTAGATCCACACCCACTTTGTCCATTTTTAAGCATAAACTTAAAGACTACTTATTCTCTCTTGCTTTTAAATAATGTGTATATATGTGGCGGGTTTTTTTTTTCTTTTTCAATTGTGTTTTATGGTTATATTGTTTTTTTGTTGTTGTTGTTGGTATTTAGTTTTATCTTTGAATTGTAATTTAAGCACCTTGGACAATGAACATTGCAATTATATGGTGCTATATAAATAAAAATGACTAATGACTAATGGCGTCTGACCTCATGACGTTCTCGATGCACGCACGCTGGCGGAAGAAGGCGTTGACCACCGGAGCCCCCTGCGGCACGAGAGGAGCTTTGCAGAGGAAGCTCAGCAGTGAGAGGACGCTGTGAAAACCCTGGAAAACCGGATCGTCCTGCGTGCAGAACGTGATTCTCTGACACAGCTCTGTCAGGATCACCAGATCCAGAATAATGGGATTGGCCAGCAGAGAGTCCTGGACACACGCAGAGGACAGAGGCATCAGAAAGGCATAGAAAAATGGGACCATACTGACGAGTATACTTGTTAAATATCATTTGATGTGATGAAATGAAATCCTTGCATAAATGTAGTTTAAAAAAGTTATAATAAATTATCAGTTCATTAGACATGCCTTTTGATTAACCATTAAAACAAAATCCAGAAAAGTTAAAACAGAAGAAATAAAGGGAATGAAAAAATGGAATCCAGAAAATTTAAATTTAAACTGGGAAAAAAATTAATGCAGAAAAAGTAAAAAGGAAACACTTAACTTGAGAAAAAAATACAACGAATTTGATCAAATTTAATTTTTAAAAACTTTTAATACATTGTTGTTAAATGTATATGTTTCGTGATTTCAATTAATTGTAGACATGCTTTTTGATTACTAACATTAAGACAATCCTGAGAAATCCGTGTGGGGGGAGGTTTGTGTTGGGTGGAATGCATAAAAATGTAATAAAAAAAAAAAAAGGGAATATAGAAAAATTACAACGGGAAAAAATGATTGTGGGTAAAAAAAAAATACAACATTTCATAGGGACCCAAAAATTTAATTTTTGTTAAACCTTTAGTAAATTACTGTTAAATTGTGTAAGCTTCACGATTTGAATTAATCAGACGAGCTTTTTGACTACTAACATATCATTTAACCATTAAAACAGAATCTAGAAAAATTGAAATTGAAACATTTTTTTTAAACAGAAACAATGTAATCATAAAAATTAAAACAGGAAAGAAAAATGAGTTTAGGGAAAAGTAAAATTAAATGGATTGCACAGGGCCCTAAAAAATTCATTTTTGTTAAACTTTTAATAAATTATTGTTAAATTGTATGAGCTTCATGATTTCAATTAACTACACGTGCTTTTTGATTAACATTTAACATTTAATTTAACCATTAATCGAGAATGTAGAAAACAAAAACAAAAAAACAACAGAATTTCCTGCATGTGTTTACTGATCTGCGATGATCTCACCTCACAGGTGTTGTGCAGAGCCATGGTGTTTGTTCCTCCCATCATGATCTCAGACGTGTACTCATCCATCGCACGCTTGCTGTCGCCCACATAGGGCACATATTTAATAACCACCTGTTCTGACAAACCAGTCAGACCTTATTTATGCACTGCAGCAATCTCCTGTTTGCATTCACAAACTGCTACATTAGACCCCACCTGAGCTGATCTACAGCACAGTTCAAAAGAGCGTCTGTAGGATTTATAATGTTTATGAAAGAAGCCTCTTCTGCTCATGAAAGCTGCATTTATTTGATCAAAAATGTTGTGAAATATTATTGCAATTTAAAATAACTGTTCTCTATGTGAATACAGTATGTGTTAAACTGTAATTTATTCCTGTGATCAAAGCTGAATTTTCAGCATCATTACTGTCCTTCAGAAATCATTCTAATGATTCGAGAAACATTTCTGATTATTATCGATGTTGAAAGCAGTCGTGCTGCCCAATATTTTTGTGGAAACTGTGATACATTTTATCTTTCAGGATTCACAGATGACCAGAAAGATCAAAAGAACAGCATTTATTTGAAATAGAAACCTTTTGTCACATTGTAAATCACTTTTGATCAATTTAATGCATCCTTGATGAATAGATTGTTTTTAAATCACAGCTCTGAGCAGTAGTGTATCTGTAATATAGTGTCAGACTCACGCAGTGGTCAGGTTTCTCTCGGGGTCGGTACATTACAGGGTTCGACTGCACAATGTCATCCACCACGTTACTCTTGGAGATTTCTTTAGAGCGAAACTGCTGCGGCGCCGACAGATTCAGACCGTCGTTGTTGCCGAGATGATTATAACTCACTATAGACGTTGGCTGAAAATGAGCATTTTATTTTTTAAATAATATGCAATATTCCACATAATATAACATAAATACTACAAATAACACAATAATAATATATTATTTATATATTATAAAATATAGAATATTTTATATAATAAAATAACAGAAGACATATTTAATATTACAGTATATTGATGATTTTCCAGAATATATACCTATGGCACTTTTCAAAAATATTGTACAAAAATGGGATCTATTAAAAAAAATTTAACAAATTATCAGTGAAATGAGGTGCTTAGGCTTCAAAAATGAATGATTGTCAATCAAGGTCAACATAATTGTATATGCATCAACAAAAAAAAAACATTATAATTTGTGTAGAAAATTTTATTGAATGAATAGTATAGAAAATGTAATGTGATATTTACTGTAACATATCTATCTAATAATTTACTCTAAAGAAAATGATGGTAAAATGTTACAATAAGGTTCCATTATTTAACATTAGCAACAATAAAAATAATTCTAAAGCATTTAATGACCCTAGTTCATGTTAATTTCAACTTTTACTAATACATTATTAATCAAATGTTGAATCTGTTAATATTATTTAATGGACCTGAGCTAACATGAACTAACAATGAACAGTTATATTTTTATTAACTACTGTTAACAAAGATTAATAAATTCTGTAACACATTACTACTAACGTTTAATTTAATCATAAAAACAGAAAAAATGGACCCCAGTCCATTTTTTCTTTCCAAATTAAAATTACGTTTTAATTTTAATTTGAAAAAAAAAAAAAAAAAAACAGAAATTGGGGAGAAATAAAATGGATTTCATGGGATACTGAAATTAACCATTAAGACAGAATCCAGAAAAATTCAAATCGAAAAATTTTGAATGTGCAAAAGTTAAAATGCAAAAAAACTGAATTAGAAAAAAAAAAAAAAAAAAGTTATTTGTTTGCTAATTTTAGTCAATGCATTAACTACTGGGTCTTTTTATTGTTAAATGTTACCTAAATTATATCTGTGTTTTTCCCCTTAACTGTCATCCACATTTTTGAAAATTCACGAGAAAGTGCACTATACAAACTTAAATTATTATGATTCATGAACGCTTTTGAACCTAAGGTTGGTCTCTTTTTAAAGAAGACAATTAGCAGAGTATTACAGAAGTGAAATCATTTAATAAATTTAAAGTATTAAAAAATGATAGAAGTTTAAATTTACTGTAAAGAAAATGTATTGTACTATTTTTATTTTATTTTATATAAAATAAACATTTTTAAAAACAGTTAAAAATACAAAATTGCTATAAAATTAAAACAATATGTCTACATTAGTTGTGTTCCAAATTTGAAGTTGATATAAAAAAAATTGAGGTTCATGTGCAATTTTGTTTAGGCGTTATACCGAAAACAGCCACCGGGTGCCACCCAAACTCCACTGAAATTTTTTTTTAAAATGCATTTCTGTCACAAATCTATCAATTTCTCTCTCAATATTACGTCTATCACAAAATAGACGACTATGTCATATTACAAAATGTATTACGGTCTTTTGGAATCAAAACCTTTTAGAATCTTGACAAAATGCATACCTTTGGAAAGGTCTGAGTCTCAAGATTCCATATTTTGTGATAGGAGTAATACTGAGAGAGAAATTTATGCATTTGTGACAGAAAAATGCATCAAAAAAATGTAATGGGGTTTGGATGGCACTTGGTGGCTGTTTGTGGTATAACGCCTAAAAACAATTGCATAGTAACCTTAATTTTTTAATATCAACTTCAAATTTGGAACACAACTTATTTAAACATACAGATTTAATTTTATGCCAAATTTGGATTTAAACCTATTTTGTAAAATATTTATTTTATATAAAATAAAAATAGTACAGTACATTTTCTTTACAGTAAATTTAAACTATAACTTTTTTTTTTACTTTCATTTTTTTAAAAATGATTTCCCTTCTGCAATAATCTGCCGATTGTCTTCTTTAAAAAGAGACCAACCTTAGGTCTGTGTTCAAAAGTGTTCATGAATTATAAAAATTTAAGTTTAAATAGTGCACTTTCAAGTCTTTGTTCAAAAAAAACTGTGGGTGACAGTTAAGGGGTTAAATAAGTTGTGTTCCAAATTTGAAGTTGATATTAAAAAACTGAGTTTACTATGCAATTTTGTTTAGGCGTTATACCACAAACAGCCACCAAGTGCCATCCGAACCCCATAGAATTTTTTGATGCATTTTTCTCTCACAAATGCATAAAGTTCTCTCTCAGTATGACTCCTATCACAAAATAACCACCAAATATGGAATCTTGAGACTCAGACCTTTCCAAAGATATGTACCTTGTCAAGATTCTAAAAGGTTTTGATTCCAAAAGACCGTAATACATGTTGTAATATGACACCCCGCATTAAAACAAAATAACGGGACACTAATGCATGCGTTACTGTTTCAGAAATGTAATGATTCTCTCTCACCTTGATTCCAGCGCTGACCAGGAAGTCCACCAGCACAGACTTGAGTTTGGTCTGTCCGGATTTGAAGTCGTCTCCACCGATGAAGACGCCGCGCTGGAGGGCCAGATCCACGGCTCCGGGGACAAAGGTGTTCTGCGGCGAGCCGTTAATGTAGGCGCAGCCCTCCAGAACACTGGCCACCGCAAACATGGTGGAGGGAGACACTTCACGCCCCGTCTGAGGCACAAACACCACAGAAACCATCAAAACCAGTGATTCTGATCCATTCATTACCATCCAAAATAAAGAAAGTAGCCTAAGCCTGCAATGATAAGACGCAATGATTGAACATGACTGTGTTTGACTGTGAAAGTCATTTCAACTTATTAAACTGACTTTAAAAAAATCATTTGTTGCCATGATTTTTTTTTATTATATTATAACATGCAACATGTCTGTGCCGTACCCCAATTAAGAATTAACGATCATTTCTACAGACATAGCAAAGAGACAGCAGAGCAAGAGCGAGAGCATCAACAAATCTCGCATTCTTATATCTGTAGCGCTTTTTTTGATCTTTAACGTTAGGTCTTTCCTATTCTTGAAGCAAAATGAATGCTTAAGGTCAATTCAGTATTAGCCTACTCTTAATGAAATACACACACAACATCAGCAAAGCTACAATGACAAAGTCATTTATATTAAACATAAAACTTTTATGAACAGAACGAATAAGACTGAATTGTAACACAAATAAATGAAAGGTTTCTTCCTTTAAATGAATGCTTATGGCTCATTATTATTAATGGAAAAAGCACAGGCTATGCACTAAAATAGTACAATGACAAATTCACCAATATTAAACTTCCAACTTTTATTAACAAAATTAATAATGATATGTTTTACCCGCGTTTAACACAAATAAATATGGATTTCCCAATCGTAGTTTGTGGTTTATTATCTTATTATTTAAAACACATCAGCCATAAAATAGTACAATGGCAAATTTGCATATATTAAACATCTAACTTTTTTAACAAAATGAATACGATGGATATAGCCTTGCGTTTATTAACCCAGTTAAATAAGGTCTTTGCCCTTATTTAAAACGAATTCTTAGTTTGCGGTTCACTGTTGTTGTTTTTTTGAATGAAAACCCAGCAACTACAAAAGACACTCACTTTATATATTAAAGGAAGAAATGAGAGTTTCATTAAGAAGATTTGTGTTTTTAGCAGGCTCACCTGAATGCTGTTGAGCAGGTTCTCGGCCGTGTCGTTGACTCCGGAGTCACGTCACAGAATCGCTCGGTGTTCGCCGTCCAGAGAACGAGGACTTTATCCACGCCGCTCTTCTCTCTGAAATCACAGATATCTCTGCGGATCTGAGCCACCTGAAACAGGACACAAGAATATTAAAAACATCCTGATTTATACATGTACTCAACAAACACACACACTATATATATACTTATAGTGTACATATATATATGTGACCCTGGAGCACAAAACCAGTCATAAGGGTCAATTTTTTTAAAATTGAGATTTATGCATCACCTGAAAGCTGAATAAATAAGCTTTCCATTGATGTATGGTTTGTTATGATCTGACAATATTTGAAAATCTGGAATCTGAGGGTGCAAAAAAATCAAAATATTGAGAAAATCATCTTTAAAGTTGTCCAAATGAAGTTATTAGCAATGCATATTAATAATCAAAAATTAAGTTTTGATATATTTACGATATTATTTCAAATATATATTTTAAAATATTTTAAAACATCCTGATGTATATTATATACAGTATATGATGTATATATAAAATATAAAAATGTAATAATATTTAATTAATAATATATAATATATTTAAATATAATAAAATATATAATATATATAATAAATTATATTTTATATTAAAATATAAATGATTAAAAAAATTGTTAATACTTTAAAGGGATAGTTCATCCAAAAAAATTAAAATTAACCCATGATTTACTCTAGAAAATTAAAAAGTATACTTAGAAAGTATATGACTTTCTTCTTTCAGACGAATCGAATCGGAGTTATATTTAAAAATGTCCTGCTCTTCTAAGCTTTATAATGGCATAGGCAAGTGTTTTCATTCAACAGTCCAAAAGAAGTCAAATAAAGCACATCCATCCATAATAAAACATGCCTCACGCAGCTCCGGGGGGTGAATAAATGCCTCCTCTAGCGAATCGCTGCGTTTTTTAAAGAAAAATATCCACGGCTAGCACGTACGACAGTTAGCGGAAGTGAGAGAAAAGTGTTTATAATGTTTTAAATATGGATATTTTTCTGAGATTAATCGCGATTAAATGTTTGACAGCACTAGTTATAACATAAAGTAATATATTAACATTAATTAACAATGAGCATTATGAGCAGTGTCTATTAATTAAGTTGTTAATGTTAATTCATAAAAATACTGTGCATTGTAAGCTCATGTCAGCTTTGGTCCGTTAAATAATACGAACATACAATTTTTTATTTTAATAATGTATTAGTGAATGTTGAGCACATTTATTAATCTGAGTTAACATTAATTAAATTAATATATTTTTAGTTAAAATTTATTTTTGTATATAGTCACAGAATATATACACAATATTTCACAAATACTGCACAAAAATAAGACTTTTTTTCAATAAGTTATCAATGAAATGAGATGCTTAAGCTTCACAAACTGATGTTCATCAATCAAAAGGTCAAACTAAATAGTAAATGAGTGCAGAAAAATTTGTGTAAAAATGTACTGTGATTATTTACTGTAACATATGTAATAGATCAGTCTAAAGAAAATATGGTACAAATTTATAATAAGGTTCCATTAACATGAACTAACAATGAAAAATAATTCTAAAGCATTCATTATTTATACACTAAAATTAATTTGAGTAATTTAGTTATACTGTACATGCAAAGTACTTTCAAATGTTTTGTGCATGTATGCAACTACCCAAAAAGGAAGAAAATGCAATGCAACTTCATGATTCAGGCTCAAAATAAAAATAAATAAATAAAAATAAATTTGCATTGCATTCAGCAATGCACAAAACTAAATTAATTTGAACATTTTAGTGATTTAGTTAACTAATGTGAATTCTTCGTTGCCGATATAGTTAATACACAGTGCAGCTGTGAATAGTTCCTCACCTGCTCTGCTTTGCTTCCTCTGATGAGGTTGTCAGCTCTGTGCTCCTGGTTAGCAGCTATGAATTCTGGGATGTAGACGGAGGGTCTGGGTTTGAGCTGGCTCATGTGTGGCCAGAGCTTCTCCTGAAGACTCCAGTCCAGAACCTGAGCGCGCTCCATGGCTCTGCCGAGGTCCAGAGACGAGATATCCCAGCCTGCGCACATATTACAGCTTCAGTCATTACTGCACAACGGCAAACAGAGCGTCAGATCACGAGAGCTGATGCAGCTACCATCAAACACGATGTCATTGGGATGCACCATTGGCAGCAGATCTCTGAAGGGAGCGTAAACCTCTCCATCCGGACCGGATCCCAGACACACCGTAGACGACTCCAGCAACGAGCCATAGTAATTCGCTTTCTGAAAGAAGGACAGGATCATTCAAACATTCTCAGAACGTTCTGGCAAGGTAATCTGGACGCTATGAACAAACGCTCTTCCAGTGACGTTAATAGAATGTTCATTCAATGTTATCTGGTCTTTAACAATGTTTTCAAAACGTTAGCACAAAAATGATATCTATACATTATGTTGTTTTTTTAAACATTTTAGTTGGATGTTCATCTGTTTTTTAAATGTTACTAATTGTTTCAGAACATTTAGAGAACGTTCAAACGTAACATGTTTGCAAAGTGATAAAATGGAATGTTCCATTAATGTTTGTATAACCACGATATAAGACATTTTAAGACAAAAAACCTAAACGAATAGAACTTAACTTAATGGTAACATTCGCAAAACGTTCTTAGAAAAAAATTGGTTTGCTGGGATATTTCAATAGGCCTAACTTATAATGCACAATTCCAAAAGAATGGATGGTCTGAAATCAGATATATTAAAATGATAAAAAGCAGAAATTTCAGTGAATCCAGAAGTATCTTTATTTGATTCCCCTAAAAATCATGCTGCTTTAGGGCAGTGTTTTTCACTTGTTGGGCAGAAGGGAAAAATATGCCTAATGAAAAAAAAAAAAAAAAAAGAGAGCTATTTTTTTATAATCATGCAAAATAAATTAGCTTAACACCTTTTTTGTGCATTTAAAAATATTAAACAATACATATATTATTATATAATATAAATTAATATTATATAATAATATAGAATTTTTTTTTTTAATAAAAAATAATATTGATATTAAATATGTATCATTGTATTTCTTACATTATATTATATGTATTAAGTGTTTTATTATTAATATGTATTATTGGTAGTAGCTATTTAGAAATTTTCATTCTTAATTTTAAGACATTTTTTTACTGCATTTAGTCGCTACTTTACGTCTAATGTAATTAGTCTGATGTTTTTATGCATTTAAAATATATTAGTATGTGTATGTATGTTTATTTTATTACATTACAGTGTTTTACTGTAAAGTGTTTTGTTATTAATATGCATATTATTTATAAATGTTAATGTTTGATTTTAAGGACATTTAGACTGTATTTGGGTCACTACTTGATGTCTAATGTGCTTGTGAACTTACAAAACATTACACACTTTGCTCAATCTGTACCTTCAGGCCGGTCTTGGTTTTCCAGGTCAGACCCAGTTTATTGGCCAGGACCGCAGCTGTGACCGTGGTCCCGTTATTTCCCCCCCATCCCACCAGCATCACCCCCAGCCTGGGCACCTTCCTCTCGGTGCGGAAGATGAACTCGGTGCTGGAGGGCGTCACCTTATTAACATAACACATGCAAAACACTTGTTTACCAGTAGTTGCATCATACGCAACTACCCAAAGGAGGAAGAAATGCAATGCAAATTTCTGATTCAGACTCTGAAATATAAAGTTGCATTGCCTTCAGCAACGCACAAAGCAGAAATGCATGAGTTTAAAGCGTCCAGAGACTCACAGTGGACGTGTCTCCATCTCTGCGCACAGAGGCAGTGTGGTAACAGTAACGCGACTCGATGTGTTTCTCAGTGTATTTCACATCTGCGCTGTTGATGCGAACTTTCTCATGCATGACGATCAACCTGCAACAATGGGAGAGACGATGCAAACTCATTAATATCACCGATTGTTGTTAATTCCAATTCAAGAAACATCTGTGAGCCTGCAGCACAAAAGCAGTGTTAAGTCGCTGGGGGATATTTGTAGCAATAGCCAACAATACATAGTATGGGTCAAAATTATCCATTTTTCTTTTATGCCAAAAATCATTAGGATATTAAGTAAAGTTAATGTTCCATGAAGATATTTAGTAAATCTCCTACCGTAAATATGTCAAAACTTAATTTTTGATTAGTAATATGCATTGCTAAGAACTTCATTTGAACAACTTTAAAGATGATTTTCTCAATATTTAGATTTTTTTGCACCCTCAAGATTCCAGATTTTCAAATAGTTGTATCTCAGCCAAATATTGTCCTATCCTAACAAACCATACATCAATGGAAAGATTATGTATTCATATTCCAGAAAAGAATCGACCCTTATGACTGGTTTTGTGCTCCACGGTCACATATATGAAGTACTTATTTTCTAAAACATGTTTTACTCTAAACCTGCTAGAAAATCAAAGCCATAAATCTAACAACGTTGTGTTCCAAATTTGAGGTTGATATCACAAAAAAAATGAGAATTTTGTTTGGCCGCAGTACCGAATGTTTCCACTAGGGGAAATACGTTTGCTGTTTGCTTCCAATGTTTACAAATGATCATACAGTATATCTTTAGAAAGTGAACAGCACATAACAGGCACATACCAGTATAAACATAAATATCTATCAATACAATATACATCACACCACTCAACATGCATCAACAGTCTTAAGTCGCTGGGGTATATTTGTAGCAATAGCCAACAATACATAGTATGGGTCAAAATTATCCATTTTTCTTTTATGCCAAAAATCATTAGGATATTAAGTAAAGTTAATGTTCCATGAAGATATTTAGTAAATCTCCTACCGTAAATATGTCAAAACTTAATTTTTGATTAGTAATATGCATTGCTAAGAACTTCATTTGGACAACTTTAAAGGTGATTTTCTCAATATTTAGATTTTTTTGCACCCTCAGATTCCAGATTTTCAAATAGTTGTATCTCAGCCAAATATTGTCCTATCCTAACAAACCATACATCAATGGAAAGATTATGTATTCATATTCCAGAAAAGAATCGACCCTTATGACTGGTTTTGTGCTCCAGGGTCACAAATCAGTAAAGATTAGGGTTTAGAGGTTTAGAAATTCACATCAAATATGATGCAGTAGCTTTATAGGGTTAAACACTGATGTCTGCTGTGTTTGTGCAGGTGAAGGCGGAGTTCAGTAAGAAGACGGTGATGGTCAGTGTGGACGGGACAGACTCGGACCGCACACACACTAAAGGACACACGCTAGACGTGGAGGGGAAGTTGTACATCAGCGGACTTCCTGCCACATACACCGCCAGGAGAATCGGAAACGTAATTGCCCTCCACCAAACCTGTCGTGCTCAATAAACGTGTCAGAAACAGGGTTCCCACGGGTCCTTGAAACGCGCGTTTTACGCGTTACGTTAACTGTTTCCGAGATACTTTGTGTTGCATATGGCAAGCCAAAAGGGTCAGAATTAAATTTATGTCGTTAAATACGGCGTTTTTTACAGCGTCTGCTATCAGGACGACGTATTTGACGGCGCTCTTTTAACGGCATTTTGTATGTAAACGCGATTTATCTATAGCGTACTTCTGACTCTTTTGGCTTGCCATAGTTGTACGTTGCCATGACGTTCACGCGCGCACGAAACTACTACAATGGTACCTTAACGTTTCACAGACACACCGTGAAATTAATGTTGAATTGCTTTGCTTGTTAAGATAATGT